CTGTCTTCCCCTAATACTGGGTGCACAGGTGTGCACCACCCCACCTGGCGTCTGAGGTATTGATGGAGCCCAGAACTGATGGAACCATGCCAAGCATGGAACTGAACTACATCCTAGCACTAAGTCTATAATCCATTTTGAATTGCTTTTTGCATGTGGGGTGAGTTAGGGGTATGGTTCCATTCTGTTGGGTGTGGGAGGCCACTGTCTCAACTACTTACTGAAGGGACTAAGCTTTTATTGTGGTTGTTAGCGCCATTGATGAAAATCTGTTGACCATAAATGTGAAGTTTTTACTTTATGGGCTCTGTTTCAGTTCTGTTGATCTGTGTATCTGTGGGGGGTGGGGGTGCTGCAGGAACAGAGGTGGGGCTGGTTTTGAGGCAGGAGAAAAGGCAGGAAACGTTCTGGGGACCTGAGGAGGATAGGAGCCCCTCACTCAGGAATCTGGTTGAAGCAGCCCTGCAGAAAAGCAAAAACAATTACCAGCTGCTTGAGGCTTTCCCACTTCCCGTCTGTAAACCCGCAGTTTTCTAGGAATCTCAGCAGAAATTCCATTTACAGAGAAGGGACTTCTAAAACCCTTGTGCAACCCTAGTGACTTCTGGTTTTTCTGTATCAGATTATAAATCTGCCAGTGGCATTTCTCTTATCAAGGGATAAAGAGGAGCTGGAGAGATGATGGCACAGTGATTAAGAGCACTTGTGGGGCCGGGCACACGCCTTTAATCCCAGCACTTGGGAGGCAGAGGCAGGCAGATCTCTGTGAGTTCGAGGCCAGCTTGGTCTACAGAGCGAGTTCCAGGACAGCCTCCAAAGCCATGTAGAGAAACCCTGTCTCGAAAAACCAAAAGAGCGCTTGTGACTCTTCCAGAGGACCCAGGTTTGGTTCCCTAGTACCCACATGGAGGCTAACAACCATGTAACCCCAGTTCTAGGAAATCTGACATCCTCAGACACGGACGCTGTGCACATACATCCACGCAGGCAAAGCACTCAATACAGGAAAGAAAATAAGACTTCTCAGTAACCTCTTTTTCATAATTTATCTTTTTCCATTTTATGTGCATTGATTGGTGTTTGCCTGCATGTATGTCTGTATGAGGGTGTCAGATTTTGGAGTTACAGACAGTAGTGAGCTGCCATGTAGGTGCTGGGAATTAAACCTGGGTCCTCTGGAAGAGCAAATCAGTGTTCTCAAACCGGTGAGGCATCTCTCCATTCCTGGTCTGTATGGGTAATGCTTACTCTCTGTTGAGGAGCCCATACTTAAACTTGAGTGTGTCTTTCTTCTTACTTAAGCTTATACTAAAATGTCTTCAATCAAAACCTCCCAACCTGACCGGGTGTTGGTGGCACACGCCTTTGATCCCAGCACTCGGGAGGCAGAGGCAGGCGGATCTCTGTGAGTTCGAGGCCAGCCTCAAAGTAATACAGAGAAACCCTGTCTCGAAAAACAAACAGAAAAAAAAAAAAAACCCTCCCAACTCTTCTGGATAAACTGGCTAGTCCTGAAATTTTTCCCAGTGTTGAAGCCATGAACCCTGCTTTGTTTAGCCCCAAAAGACCAGGGAGTTCTATCTGCTGCGTCTCTGTCACCTCCCCACTGACATTTTGATTAGTGTAGCTTGGTAGTATATTTGAAATTGGGGAGAATGATACCTGCAGGTTTTTTTCTGTTTGTTCAAGACTTCATTGCCTCTTTGAGATAAAATTTAGGATTTCTTAAAAACAATATTAGTGAAAAACGCACAGGACACAATAGGGTAGCATGACTCTGCTGGTCCCTTTGGGTAGCATGTGACTTTTAAAAGGTTATTCATTCTTCCAACCCGTGCACAGGTCTGTACCAGGCTTTTTGTTTTGGGCCATCAACCAGCTCCCAAATCGTGACACAGAGACTTACTATTAGTTTTGAATGTTCAGCCTTAGTTTGTTTCTGGCTAGCTCTTTTAACTTAAATTAACCTGTTTCTTTTTATCTGCCTTTTGCCTTAGGGGCTTTTAACCTTTCTTCTGTGCATTTTATTTTCATTGCTTCTTGTGTCTGTTGGCTGGTGGCTGCCTGGCTTCTGGCCTTGGAAGTCTCCCTCCTTGTCTTCTCTTTCTCCTTTCTCTGGAGCCTAGAGTTCTTCTCCCTTTTATTTTCTCCCTCCTAGCCCCTCCAAGCCTTTCTCTGCTTAGCTATTGGCCATTCAGCTCTTTATTAGACCAGACAGGTGCCTTAGGCAGGCAAGGTGAAACAAATGCAACACATCTTTATATCATTAAACAAATGCCACATAAACAAAGGCAAACACATCTTTGCTAGTCAATAGTGTATTCTACATCACGTGTCACCCCCACCCTCATCCCACCCCCACAGGGTTTCTCAGTGTAGCCTTGGTTGTCCTGGAACTCACTCTGTAGACCAGGTTATCCTCCAACTCACAAGAGATCCCTCTGCCTCTCGAATGCTAGGACCACTGCCTGGCATCACTCATTTTTTAAAGCCTATTTAATGTGCTTGAATGTTTTGTTGCGTGTATATACCATTTGTGTGCCTGGTTCATGCAGAGATCAGAAGAGGGCACTGGGTTCCTGGGGCTGGAGTTACAGATGGCTGTGAGCTGCACTGTCTTCTTCAAGAGCAGCCATTGCCCTTAATTGCTGAGCCTTCTCTCTGGCCCCTCCCCCTTTCTTTTTTCTTTTTAGATTGGTTGTATATGGGATCATTTTCTTTATTTCTTTTCCAGATAGCTTGATGTTAGTGTATAGAACTGTACTGATTATTTACAATATTAGTTTTTTTTTATTTTTGTGTGTGTGCACACACTGTAATGTCTGTGTCAAGGCCAGAGGACAATTTTGTGGGGTTGGCTCTCTCATTCCACCTGTACATGGGTTCCAGAGATTGAGTTTAGGTCATCAGGCTTGTCCAACAAGTGACTTTACCTACTGGGCCATCTTGTGGGTCTGTCTATATAATTATTTTTATGATATTTAGTGGAACTGGGGGACACCCTCCTACTCCCCTGTATTTTCTTTACCATTCTCTGTTTAATTTTCTTTTCTTTGTTTTATTTTCCTCCCTTAAGAGCTGAACAGTTGTTGGGCATGTTGACACATTCTTATAATCATAGCTGTTGGGAGGCAGAGGCAAGAGGATTGGGAGCTGGGGCCAGAAAGAAAAGTAAGCAAAACCAGACAAAAGCCAGGAAACTTCTCCCTCCATCCAGTGTGCGTTTCTGTGTTCTTTACTTAGCAGTGACCAGGAGATGGACGGGTCTGTTAGGGACAAACTGGGTCATTCCTCCTTGGCTGGAGACCATCCGCTTTTCTGGGAGGAAGTGAAAGACAGATATGGTCAACTCCACCAAGGACACCTGTGTTGTTGGTGCTGCAGAGGAGGGAGGCTCGTAGATTTAATCTCACTGCCACAATCGGACGCCTCTGTCCCAGAGAGTGGGGCGGGTGAGGAAAGGCTTGCCTGGCTTTGAGGTTTCCTTCTAATATGAGCTTCTAACTTTTTTAAAAAAATAATCAGGAATGTGTGCTGAGTTAAAAATTTAAAGTCTTTTATGTTTTTATTTTTTAAGATGGGGTTTCTCTTATGTAGCCCTGGCTGTCCTGAAACTCACTTTGTAGACCAGTCTGGCCTTGAACTCACAGAACTCCGCCTGCCTCCCAAGTGCTGAGATTAAAGGTGCGCACCACCACTGCCCAGCAAGTCCTTTACTTTTAAAATTTTCTTTTTATGGATGTGTACGTACACGTTGGGTGTCCTGCTCTGCCACTTGCTGCCTTACTCCCTCCAGGCAGGGTTTCTCACTGAACCCAGCTAGACTGGTGGTCAGCAAGCCAGAGCGATCCTCCTGTGTCTGTTTTCCCAATAGTGATGGGGTTGCCCCTGTGTGTTGTAAGCCTCCAGACACACCTTGGATAACATGTATGGCCAGACCAAGATTTTTAGGTAGGTGCCGGGGATTTGAACTTAAGGTTTTCATGCTTGCACCTCAACAGCTCCAGAATTAACACTCAGTCCCTCTCTCCCAACCTCCTTCCCTCCCTCTTTATGTAGCCCTGACTGATGTGGAACTCACAGAGACCTGCCTGCCTCTTGGGTTCTGGAATGAAGGCGTGCACCACTCCATTAGTAAAAACATTAGATAAGTTCTGAAAGACGATCTTACATAGCTTAGCCAGCCTGGAATTCCCTATGTAGCTCAGGCTGGCCTAGCTCCTGATCCTCCTGCCTCTCCTAACAGGGTTATAGGCATGAGTCTGTATGCCCAGTGTTTTCTTAGTACATAGCACACATCAGTAGGCTTTTCCTCCTTGTCTGTTAGTAGATTTGCTGAATAAGTGAATTCCTTGATCTTAATCAGCATTGTGTTTCATCTCTAAGGGGTGTGTGGTGGCATTGAGTAGCTGCAGATTTTGATGAGATGGTACCCCAAGTAATTAGATTTCCAATTTTTATTTTTTAGCATCTAAGTGAAACTGATTTTTTTTTCTGAAAGTGTAGAAGGACCTTTTCCTTCAATCAAGGGGATGATATGCTGAGTTACAGGGAAAAGAGATGGCATCTACGTGGATGGAGCAAAGTAGGAATTGCTCACTCATGGGCACATGGTGGATATTCCAGAGATTGCATTGGCCTCAGTGAGGGAACCTTGACCTGAAATTAGCACTGGGGTCCTCTATATCCTCACACCTGTTAGGAGTGACTCTCATCTTGTCCCTCTCCCAGGCACTCAACGACTTCATTAGTAATGTATTATTATTAGTGTGTGTGTGTGTGTATGTGTGCGCGCGCATGCGTGCGTGTGCGTGTGCGCATCTGATTCCCCTGAGCTGGAGTTACAGATGGTTGTGAGTCACCTGATGTGGGTGCTGGGACTAAAACCAGGTCTTCTGGGAGAGCAGCAAGTGCTCTTAACCACTAAACCATCTCTCCAGTCCCTGTTGGTGATGTTTATAGTGAGAAGCTAATCAATGTATCTTCATCTTGCTTTGAAGGGCTCAACATTTGCACTAGTGGAAGTGCCACCTCATGTGAAGAATGTCTATTAATTCACCCCAAATGTGCCTGGTGCTCCAAAGAGGTATGTGTGATGGGGAGGGAAATGAGGGAGGGGGAGGGTTGTGGGGGGACCATAGCACACAAATGTACACCAGAAGCTGAACAGTTGCTGGCTCATTCACAGGTCTCTGACTTGTTTGGATATTTGCCTGCAAGCATTCTACTGCAGAGGTAGATCTGCAGCCCCTCACCTCACCTCTCCAGGTTGTTTTGGGATAGTCTCACTAAGTTGCCTGGGCTGGCTTTGAATTTGCTCTCTAGCCTAGGTAAGCCTTGAATTTGCAGCCCTCCTCGTCTCCAGTACCCGAGATTATAGGCCTGCGCCACCAGCCCCATCTCCAAGCTTCTTCTGGCCTCTTTCTTGCTTTGTTTGTGTGTGGTGCTGAGCCTAAGGCCTTATGGATGCTAGGCAAGTGAGTGACATTCTATCATCGGCAGACTGGGTTGGTCACTGGGTTGCTCACTTTCCTTTTGTTTTCATTATTGGAGATTGAATTCAGGGCCTTGATCTACCACTGAGCTAAATCCCCAGCCCACAGGTTCTGGTTGATTTGTAGTGTTGACTGTTACTTGGAGGAACCAGATTGTGTTCTCTTGTGTATGGGAACCAGTGAGGACTCAGCTGTGGTTTCCTGGACTTTGGATGAGCACTCTGTGGAAGAGCTGAACTTGGGAAGTGAGTTTCTTGTGTAACAATTCAAAGCAGGCCTTGGGCTGGTGGTGTCCATAACTATCATAATGTAAAATAACCACTTTGCCTTTAAAGGAAGTAAAAAAAAGTTTTTTCTGAACCGCTGTGGCCTAGGAACAAGGATTCAAGGATCCTAGTATGTTCTACCATGAACAAGTTAAATGAACTTTTGTAGCCACAGAACAAAAGGAAGTCAGACACACATTTGCTATTCACATTGATGGCAGCATCAGGCAGGCTCTCCTGCAAAGCTGGGAATCTCTTTCATAGGTTTTCTTTACATTTATTTATTTATTTATTTTCCTTTTCAAATTTTTAGTTAGAAACAGGGCCTCGCTAAGTAGCTCTAGCTGTTCTGAAACTTTATGTAGACTAGTCTGGCGTGAAACCCACAGAGATCCCTTTGCCTCTACCTCCCGAGTGCAGGGATTAAAGATGTGGTGTAATCTACTGCTGTTTCAACCAGCAATTGTGACTCCGCAGTTACTGGCCTGCTTTTCTGGCAGCAGCCTGACTGCTCAGGCCACAGTCTGGCATGAATTCTGTTCCCGCAGGCACCATCTGTGCTGCTGCTGCTAAAGGTAGCTTTAACTAAATGCTTATCATTCTAATTATAAATAAGACTTGAGATTCAAAGGCTGGGGTGAAAACCTGCTAGCTCAGAGAGGTTGAGTAGCAAATAGCTAACCTTCTCTCTTTGCTGACATCTCTCTGAAAAGGCCCATCCTTCCACTCCACCAACCAACCAAACAAACAAACAAAAAAGTGCCACTCCAAATTCCTCCTTACTACTTCTGGTGCATCTCTCTCTCTCTTCCAGATAATCTCTGATGCTCTGTGATTAGTTTCTGTCAACCAGTTGCTAACTCAAACTCCTAACCCAAGGTTAATTTTATTTAATTAATGCAAATGCAAACTCTGGGGTTTCACAGAGTGATCAAATATCACCCAAAAGTGTGATGCCCAAAAACCATTTCTTTAAGTCCTATAGGAAGGAATGTGCTTGGATGATGTTAGATATGTTATTATCATAAAGCAATGTAAATATTAGGTAGACCAGTTGTCTTAGTGTTCTATTGCTGTGAAGTGATGCCACAGCAACTCTTATAAATGAAAGCATTTAACTGGGGCTTGTTCACAGTATCAGAAATTTATTCCATTAGCAGCATGGAGGGAAGCATGATGACACATAGGCAGACATGGTGAAGAGGAGCTGAGAGTTCTACATTTGTATTGGCAAGAAGATAAAGAGCCAATGGGCCTGGCTTGAGCATTTGAAACCCAAAGCCTGCCTCCAGTGACACACTTCCTCCAACAAAGCCACACCTACTCCAACAAGGCCACACCTCCTAATCTCCCTCAAGTAGTGCCATTTACTAACAACCAAGTATTCAAATATCTGAGCCTGTGGGGGCCATTGCCTTTTATTTATTTATTTTTACATAATAATCCCAGTTACCTTTCTCTTCCCTCCTCCCACCCCCTCCTTTTGCTCCTCATCAAGGGTAAGGCCTCCCATGGGGAGTCAGCAAAGTCTGTCCCATCACCATGTTGGGGCAGGACCAAGGCCCTCCCCACTGTGTCTAGGCTGAACAGGGTGTCTCTCCATAGGAAATGAGTTCCAAAAAACCAGTTCATTCACTTGGGATAAATCTTGGTCCCACTGCCACTGGCCCCACAAACTGCCCAAGCCACCCACTGTCACCTGCATTCAGGGGGCCTAGTTTGGTCTTATGCAGGTTCCCCAGCTGTCAGTCCAGAGTCAGTGATCTCCCGCTAGCTCAGGTCAGCTGTTTCTGTGGGTTTCCCCATCCTGGTCTTGACCCCTTTGCTCTTATCATCACTCCTCCCCTTGCTTAGACTGGACTCTGGGAGCTCCGCCCAGTTGTTAGTTGTGGATCTCTGCATCTGCCTCCATCAGTTACTGGATGAAGGTTCTATGATGACAATTATAGTAGTCATCAATCTGGTTGCAGGGGAAGGCCAGCTCAGACAACCTCTTCACTATTGCTTAGAATCTTATCTGTGGTCATCCTTGTATATTCCTGAGAATTTCCCTAGTGCTGGTTTCTCATTAATCCCATACTGACTCCCTCTATCAAGGCAATGCTTTCCTTGCTCTCCCTCTCTGCCCTTCCCCCAATTCACCTGTCCCATTCCCTCGTGTTCACGTCCCCACTTCCCTTCTTTCCTCCCTTCTTCCCTTTCAACCCCCCCCCATCCCGATTTACTCAGGAGGTCTTGTTTATTTCCCATTCTTAGGCCAATCCATGTATATCTCTCTTAGGGTCCTCTGTTACCTAGCTTTCCCAGCGTTGTGGATTATAGGCTAGTTATCCTTTGCTTTATGCCTAATATCCACATATGAGTGAGTCCATACCATATTTGTCTTTCTGTGTCTGGGTTATCTCACTTAGGATTTTTTTTTCTAGTTCCGTCCATTTGCCTGCAAATTTCAAGGTGTCATTGTTTTTTACTGCTGAGTAGTACTCCATTGTGTAAATGTACCACATTCTCCTTATCCATTCTTCAGTTGCAGGACATCTAGGTTGTTTCCAGGTTCTGGCTATTACAAACAATGCTGCTATGAACATAGCTGAGCATTATTATGTCCTTGTGGTATGAGTGTGTATCCTTTGGGTATGTGCCCAAAAGTGGCATTGCTGGGTATTGAGGTAGATTTATTTCCTATTTTCTGAGAAACCACCACATCAGTTTCCTTCCTTCCTTCCTTCCTTCCTTCCTTCCTTCCTTCCTTCCTTCCTTCCTTCCTTCCTTCCTCGCTCCCTCCTTCCTTCTTTCCTTCTCCTCCTTCCTTCCTTCCATGCCTTACAAACACAAACATGATACTTGGTTACTAGGAAAATGACATCATATACACCAGAATATATTTATCACCAGAATTGCTGCACTTTGGCACAAAGCGTGTCAGTAGAAGCAGGGAGGCATAAAGTACACTGCATCTTACATCTTGGTTCATGAGGGACATGTGTTTTGAACAGTGTTTTGCATGAATTAAGTACTATAATAATCTCATTGTAAAATAGTATTTGGAACTGGCTCTGTAAATCAGGCTGGCCTTGAACTGACAGAGACCCACCTACCTGTGCCTCCCAAGTGCTGGGCTTACAAATCGGTGCTGCCATTCCAAGCTAAGTTTCTTGTCTTAAATTAAGTTTCCAGGTCACTTTTCTAAACTGTCATTAGAACCATGAAGCACAAACTCTCCTTTTGTGAATAAAAGGAACCAGTGTGGTATGTGTATTATAACCTCTCTCCCAGACTTATCTCCTCTTACTGGGTTAATGTGCGTTCCTACCTGTTACCAATTAAATAATCATCTTTTTTGTCTCATTCATACCTAGTGTCCTTCCAAGGTTGGAACAGGAATGCAAATTTGATAATACGAGGCTTGCTAAGCAAACCTGGAGTTAGGCAAAGTATAAATTCCAGCTTTGCCATGATTTACTCTTGGTCTGCATGAGGGTCTTTGGTAGCCTAGGCTGACCTTGACTTGCTTGTGTCTTGGGATGACTTTGAACTTCTCATGTTCTTGTTTCTACCTCCTAAGCCTTAAGATTGCAGGTGTGTCATCATAGTCAGTTTGTTTGTTTACGTAGTAGCTTATGATATAGCTCAGGCTGTCCTCAGATTCAGTTATCTGCCTCTGTCTCTAGAGTGCTGGGGTTTTCAGGTATGAGGTATTTCATTGCCCTACAAGACTACTATTAATTTCTTGAAACATACAATAAGGATGACATTACCCAGCACCTAACCTTACTGGATATACATGAGATTAAGAACAGGAGGGCTTCTAATTAACAGAACCTCCCAAATGGCTGAATGGGTCCTCCAGTAGACAGCCATTGTTACCTATGAGCATATTCTGGTGGAATGGGCCATGGGTTCTGGGAGCCAGGGTTTCTTTTTCACTCTCTTTCTTTCTGTCTTCTACAAAACTTCCAAAATCCTGACCTGATACTGACAGTGAATAAATCATTCTAAGTGACACTTGTTGGTCTAGTCCACACATGGGGTTCCTAGCTAGCCCACTGAGTACCCTCTCTGCTTGCACAGAACTGCGTTCTTGGCTGTACTGAAATGCAGTTTCCCAACTCTGGGTTGAGCTGTCCCTGTGGCATTGATTGTGTTTGGGATGCTAGGGCTGGAGACTTCGGGAATGGTTTTGGTCTAACTTGTGCCTTAGCAAGACAGAGTAAGTACAGCTTGTGCCTTCTTAGCCACATTCTGGGATGCTGTCAGAGGAGCAAGGTCTCTCTGCCAGAAGCATGTGATCCATGAGCATACTTAGGGCTGGTACCCAGTGGACA